TGTGTGAGTGAGTGAGTGAGTGTGTGTGAGTGTGTGTGTGTGAGTGTGAGTGAGTGAGTGAGTGAGTGTGTGTGTGTGAGTGTGTGTGTGTGTGTGTATTGAACATGAGTCTTATTTAACATGTTTGTGACTCATCTCATCTCATCTCTCATGAGATCTGTTAATTTTGATAAGATGAATCATTCATACTGCTGCTGGAGAGAGAGAGAGAGAGAGACAGGCGGAGTAAAATCCGTGTTAATAACTGATGTGATCTCAGCAGACGCTGAACTGATGTGACGATGAGCTTCAGCTCACGAATCACAATCAGCAGTGATAATGTATTTTATGCTGTAAGTAGGGCTGAATTATGACCACAATGAGTGAGTGAGACAATAATCACACAATCCATTCCAGACAATTCATTGAAGTGAATCACTTCAAACAAAGTTTATAATGATTTGAATCATAGCTCAACAGTGAACCCTGTATGTATTTCTGCAATCAAGATGAATCAATACTGAATTTTAACACGTTCCTGGTCGTAATGTGCACGATTCACTAGTGATGATATTAATTTTGACACTGAATACTGCTGTTTAATGTGTTCAGTTCAGTTAGATAAGCTGATTAGTTTTATTAGTCACACATCCATAGAATGACCCTGACTCAAGATTCATTATAGTGAGTCGTTAATATGCTTCATTTGATTCATTGCTCAACTATGAACCCAGTGTAACGCCACTGTGAACATTGGGTCAAGATGAGTCAAAATGTAAAATTGTTTTGTTTCAGTCATAAAAACTGTTTTGTATTTTTGTACTGTATTTAGTTAAATTTATATTATTAATTAAATATAAATAAGATAACTAGCTACCATTTCTTAGTAGTTTGTAAGGTAGTAAACTACTTTTCCAGAGACGTACTATCGTTTGACAGACGCCGGTTTCTCGTCGTTACCCTTGGAATTGAAGAAGGAGCGTCGGGTCATTAGTCACTTGATAATGGCTGTAAACGAGGGTTTAACGAGGCTGACCCTGAACTGACTGTGACTGCTGGTTGCTTGAGTTTTGTCGGGTTCACGCTGAACTTCTCGGAGGATCATGTCGAGTGTGTGTATGAATATGGATGAGCTCTTTGATGTGGAGCCCGTATTTAAAGCTCTGACCTCGTTTCCCATCAAAGACCTTCTGAGAGAATCCAACACACACCGCATCAATATTTCATCACACGCTGAACCAGCCGCAAACCCAGGGAATGTGTGTGTGAACAGGAAGATGGAGCGACTGGCACGCACACAAATGTTTCCGTTATGATGAGCGTGACGAATCGTCTTTTGTGTGTCGAACAGTGTCGCCTTTGTGTTCTCACACACACACACACACTCTCTCACAATCACACACACACACACACTCTCTCTCTCACAATCACACACACACACAAGCATAAGAAAGAAAACTCAGAATTGAAATCTCTTGAAAATCTAAGTTTTTCTGTGATGAAATAGAAATCTCAGTTTTTCTCTTTAAAAGTAATATGATGAAATAGAGATCAAACTGAGAACTTTCTTATTAGAAACAAACTAAATGAATGTAATTTTTGTCAATTTTGTTTGTGAAGTGTTATTGAATAAGTGTATTGTTGTATGTAAACTTAAACTTAAAACAGTGATACTGATCACCACAGGACAGAAAAATCACAAATGAGATCTCTTTAATATCTTGTATCTCAAGAGCTATGAGATGAAATGGAGATCAGGTTGAAAATGTTGCTCTAGTGTATAGTGATGTTTAATGAATTTAATGTCATTATGAGATCTTATCCCTGTTGAAAAAAACAGCATATGCTGGTTAGGTATGTTTTGAAGCATGACTGCTGGTTTGAGCTGGTTTAAGCTGGTCATTTCATCTCATCCAGGTGGATGCTGCACACTGGTGGTGGTTGAGGAGATTCCCCCTTTCTATGTAAAGTGCTTTGAGTGCCCAGAAAAGCGCTATATAAATGCAAGGAATTATTATTATTATTATTATGTGCTAAGCTGGTCCTAAGCAACTAGTTCCTGCTTATAACCAGCTCATACCAGCTCATGACCAGCTAAGAACCAGCTTAAACCAGCTCATGACCAGCTACGTACCAGCTCATGACCAGCTAAGAACCAGCTTAAACCAGCTCATGACCAGTTAAGAACCAGCTTAAACCAGCTCATGACCAGCTAAGAACCAGCTAAGAACCAGCTCATGACCAGCTAAGAACGAGCTTAAACCAGCTCATGACCAGCTAAGAACCAGTTCAAACCAGCTCATGACCAGCTAAGAACCAGCTCAAATCAGTCCATACCAGCTCATGACCAGCTTAAACCAGCTCATACCAGCTCATGACCAGCTAAGAACCATCTTAAACCAGCTCATACCAGCTCATGACCAGTTAAGAACCAGCTTAAACCAGCTCAAACCAGATCATGACCAGCTAAGAACCAGCTCATGACCAGCTAAGAACCAGCTTAAACCAGCTCATACAGCTCATGACCCTCTTGAGAGACACTCAATTTATTGTGTATGTTAAAGTAGAATCATTAAAACACATTGTAAATCATCCCAACAAGAAAGAAAAATAACAAATGAGGTCTCTTTAGTATCTCAGTTGTTTCTCCCACAGTGAGATTAAATGGAAATCAAACAAAGTATCTTGATGTTTCTCCAGAGAAAAAGACTTCATTCTGAGATTAATCCCCACTGGAAAGCAAAATCACAAAAAAGATCTCATTAATGCCTCGATTGTTTCTCCGGGAGATCAAATTAATGTTCGTAAAGTCTCTGGTGGCTCATGTGTTTCTCCTGATCTCACCAATAATCTCTATACTCTCACTGGATGATAACTAGTGATTCAGTTGGGCCTGTTTCAGGAGAAACATCTGAGACAAAGCTGATATTTCAATGAAATGTAAAATCTCAACTTTGTCTCAAATTGTGCTCAGATTTGCTCAAGATCCCAAAGTCTCGATCAAAAGTCAGCGATCTCAAACACTTCTCACTGGATGATGACTAGTGCTTCATTTGGGCCTGTTTTAGGAGAAACATCTGAGACAAAGTGGATACTTGAATGAAACGTAACTGAGATCTCTATGAAGTGAGGATGTAAAAGAGCAACGTTTGTGCATTAAAATCTGTTTGTGTTTCAAACTAGACTAATAAACTCTTTCTCTCTGTCCAGCAGGTGAGCGATGCAAGATTTCATTGCGATCCGGCCGCTGTGCAAACATCTTAAACTAGATCTCTTTTGTCTCAGTTGTTTCTCCAGGAGATTAAATTGATATTTGTAAAGTCTGTGGCTTCTCATATATGTTTCTCCTGAGAAAAAAGAGCCCATTAATCTCACGTGTCTCCTCTAGAGTTTCGGAAGACAGCTCAACTATGTCTCAAACTGTGCTCAGATTTGCTCAAGATCCCAAAGTCTCAATCAAAAGTCTGAGATCTCAAACATTTCTCGCCAAATGATCAGACTCTCACTGGATGATGACTAGTGCTTCAGTTGGGCCTGTTTTAGGAGAAACATCTGAGACAAAGCTGATACTTCAATGAAACGTAACTGAGATCTCTATGAAGTGAGATGTAAATAAGCAACATTTGAGCAATAAAATGTATCTCTGTGTTCAAACTGAACTGATGAACTCTGTCTGTCCGGCAGGTGAGCGATGCGAGATCTCGTCGCGCTCGGGCCGCTGTGCCGAGGGCGTGTGTAAGAACGGCGGGACGTGTCTCAATCTGCTGGTGGGCGGCTTCAGGTGCGAGTGTCCTCCCGGAGGCTTCGAGAAGCCCTTCTGCCACATGAGCTCCAGGAACTTCCCTCCGCAGACCTTCATCACCTTCAAGGGTCTCCGGCAGCGCTTCCACTTCACGCTCTCGCTGTCGTGAGTATTTGTCACCGAGATGAAGCCGTCAGCCGTGTTTGTTCATTAGTCAGCGAGTCAATAACACTTAATGAAGCTCCTTCTTCTGGATGTTTGCTCAGTGTCTCAGGAGCTTTTATCTGCTCGTCTCGGAGCGTTATATAACATTATCCAGCGCTATTTGTCTCAAATATTTTTATACCCAAACGTCAGTGTGGTCGTGTTGATCTGTCCGTCTCGAATGGGAAAACAGATGCTCTGTCCGGATGCTCCTCTGTCTCGGCTTTGCTCTTTTCTTTCTCTCTTTCTCTCACGCTTGTTTGCTGATGAATGCTCTGTCAGTAATCTGTTTAGCGTGTGTATAGACTGTGTGTTCAGGACTGATGAGAGCTTTTTTGCGCGGGTTGCTCGGTGCTGATTCTTGTGTTCGAGGGATGTTTTCTGAAGGTTTAAAGGGTCATATTGTGAGTTTCCAGGACTCAAAACTCTCAGAAAATGTCCAAAATGGACTTGGCGTTAATTGAAACATGAACACGTGGTCATGCACATTTACACCAAACAGGAGGAAGTAGGACACCAGGAGAACTAAAATAATTGAGTCGAATATGATTTACATATAGATGTCTTCAAGGCGCAGTAGCAAAAACAGACTGTCTTTTATTGTACAGATCAGAAAGAGGGTGTAAGGTGATCATCAGAAACTCGATTATGGCCGTTTTTGGTGCATGAAACCTCTAGGAACGTGATGAGAGGAGCTCGGGGAAGATATGAAATGTATGAAACGACCCCATTAACTGTGTCGGAGATAAAGGAGGATGTTGGGGTGATGCTGAAGGAGAAATGAAGGGTGTGTGTGTCTCTGGAGATGTGATTATTCTCCTCAGTAACCAGGTCAACAGCGCTAAACCCCACGGCAAAACCACAGTAACATCCACGAATACACCAGCACATCATACACACACTCGCTCTGAGATTTTAAGATTTAATTTATATTTGGTGCAATATTACCAGAGCATTAATGCTCTAAAATTCTGATTCTTATTTTTATTATTAATAATAATAATATTAATATTAAATATTGTTTTTATTAGTATTAATTAAATTAAATTAAATAGTCACAAAACATGAATAAACATGAAAAATAATTGTTTGTTTTCTCTCTCATTACATTTGCACTGTATAGGTTTATCAGATGCTTTGATCCAGATGAGGAGCGTGTCTGGTGTTGTTTGAGTTTCTCCTCCGTGTTTTCAGGTTAAATGTTCACCTGCAGTGTAATAATAACAGCGAGGTGTTTTATTTTCGTCTGTTTCCTGCCGTTTTGTGAGCGTTTGTTTGATTGGGTCTGTTTTGGCTGTCGAGTTCGCTCCTGCTGCTGCTCGCTGACCTACTTTAACTTTATAAATGTTAGACGGATACCTGTGAAGATCTGCTGCAGTCGCCGCGCATCACTATAGCAGAGAGTCGCTGTTTGTTAGTGCTGTTCAACTCAATCTCTAGTACTAGTGTTGATAGTGAGAGCAGAAGATCACAGAGAACAGAACACTGCTGTGTGTGTGTGTGTTTAATCTACTGATGTTACTACAGCAGAAACACTGAGTTTAATCCACACAGACATGTTTGGACTGCTAATGTGAACGATGGACTTAAAGATGTATCCACACACACACACACACACAGACTCTCACACACACACACACTCTCACACACACACACACACACACACACAC